TATTTTGAATGCAAATATCTATTCAATATATCAACTCAACCAATACTGGATTTTTATATTATTTGAATTGCGAAACAGTGAAGAAGGCATTCAATCTTCAAGGAAGGAGAATAATACTTGCCAAGAATTTTCTCTCTCGTGCCGTGGTATTGTCAAATTGTCATCTCGGTTATCTTGTTATTTGCCCTGGTCTAGTTTTCTTTGGTTTTGCTCTTTGTCCTTCAGAATATCAAGTTCTACTCAGTTTTTTTGTTCTGTCACTTGATGATTTTTTTCTGTTTGTCCTGCAACATACTCACAAAAAAACAAGTATTCTATGTTCAACCACTAAGTGACCGACAATTGCCTAGCCCACCAGGAAATGAAAACAATTTCCTTTAGAAACATGCTCATTTTCTCGCATTGGATTCTTGATATCGGCTTTCAATTTTCTACAGTGTGATTCTGATTCCCGTCACAGTATGTACTTCCTTTGGTACAAAAATGAATATTCACTTTGCCTGTTTTCCTCATGTGCATCTGTGTGAAATCTGCTCCAGAGTCCATCATCTCTGCTCTAACTATTGAAACATTTGTCTAATATTCTGATTTTTTGATATTCAGGAGTCCGCGTGATGAAACGCCTAAGCTTTCTTGACGTTTGGTTGGCTAACCATTGCACATAAAAGCACACCTGATCATGTACAACTTTCTACAAGATACCATGAGTTCAATAATCTCAATATCTCAAAACATCAACAATCTCAATAATCTCAGTAGTTTTTCCTTATGATCTATAAATGTTCAAAAAATGAACTAATTATCTCTTATTAAAACCTTATATCCTGGCAACTTACCTCGATGGGTATTGAATGATACTGGGTGGAGGTCCGATATCCATGCACAATGACTCCTGTACTGATCAAGTCGACAGCGATAGTTACTTCGTCTCCTTGGTCAAAACCAAAAATCCTTACTCTACAGTCATCATCTAACCCGTCTGGGTTTCCCGATAGTCCGTGTACAGTGCTCTCCACTGTATATCGATAGTTTTCACACAACGAGCGTTTCATAATTTCAAATCTTCATTAGCCGATGTCTGAAAATCCTTGAACATACCCTCAGAGCATGTTTCCTTATAGAAAAAAATCTACAAAAATCACTGAAATCTGTTCAAGTTTCCTTAACAGTACGAGAGTACTTTAAAAATTAAATTCCTTAGTTAACTGACTCTTGACTTCCACCCTCCTCAACTATTTCCGACATATTAATTCCAGTCACGTCTGGGATTCACGGGTTATCATACGGTGAGATTCTGCTTATATGAATCACCTCTTTTCTACATTCACTATTTGGTTCTCTTTGTACCTCATAGTCTACTCCACATATATTTTTCGTAATAGGTATATTATGGGTCAAACCACCTAAGAATCAGTTTTTCGCGTCTTCCGACTATACTTTTCGGGGTAAAAACCGATGAAACTGGTAGATCAAGCTCTCGTCATGGGGGTGGAAGAACAAGAAAGACAACTGCACACCAAATTCACTATATCAGTGTAACGGTGAGAATGCAACGCACTGCTACAGATCAAAGAATCAATAATGCTTCACGTGCTGCAACAAATGTTCTGGTATCTGACAGAACCATCATTAGAGGAATTATAGAAATTGATTTGGTACCAAGACGTCGAGCTGCATGTCCACTGCTCAATCGACACAGCGCCAGTCGACGCATATGAGCAGAGCAGCATGTTTTCATTTTATTTTATTTCCCAAGTAATCTACAGAACACGCAGTTCCAATAATCGATTACAATATTAAAACTAAGTAAATCACCATTCTCAAAATATTACGATGCCCTAAACTAAATTAACTCCAAATGACCTGAATCACAATCAAATTGAGATACACATTTAGTTGAAATTGACAAATAGACCTTTTCCATTTAAATTAGCGTTCAGTTTCAATTCTCATTTACTTTTAAAGATGATATCTCAATTTAAATTTTTTTTTCTAAATGTTTTTTCATTGCATTCAACATAGAAATCTATATTCCTCAAACAATTTGCAAGAGAACACATATTGTATAGTGGGGAATTTAAACCTAGGTTGGTTCGAGGTTAAGGCAAAACAAATATCTCTTCTTCTATTATTGAAATATGTACTGCAGTTCAGGCAAATTTGTGTCAACAATTGTGGATTATCTACTTCATTATGCAGTAGCTTAAAGAAAAATACAATAATAGCAACTCTTCTTCTAAATTCCAAAGTTGTGAATTTAAATTCATTCAAGGAAGTATGATAACTGAGATTGAAAATATATTCACCATGTCGACTGGGAAATGGATGATTGGTCAAACTGCTTGTTCACGGATGAATGCAGATTCAACCTTCATAGATCCGATGGCCATATTTTATTTAGGAGAGAAAGGGATAGTAGGAGGAGAATATGGAACCAAGAGTGGCATTTGGTGAAGGAGGTTCAACCGTGTGGGGTGGCATTTCACGTACTGGCCGCACAGAGCTTATCATATTGAACCGTGGACAAACCATGAATGCCATATCTTATAGAGAATGGGCTCGAAACCATGTTGATAGGTTCATTTCATTTGATGACAATGCTCACCTTCATCGTGCTGGGATTGTGAATACATTTTCGAAGGAAAACGATGCAAATAAAATGATTTGGTCAGCACGTTCGCCAGACGTGAACCCAATCGAGCATGTTCGAAGCCGCTTGAAATTGGAAATAAATCGACGTTTCGAAAAACCGATCACGTTCGGAATTCTTGAAAGAATGATTCAGGAAGAGTGGGAGAGAATGGGTTACTTGAACTCTAATTCTGATAAAGATGGAGTCCACCCAAGCCGAGGCTGTTGTGCTCAGATTTTCAATTACTGTACTGGCAAATCTATGGTTTCAAGACGGCCTTCAATTCACCTAACCACAAGGTTCAACTCCGCTTGAGAGGATGAGATTGTCTTCCCAATGACGTCAAGAAGAACTCCGACGAGAATCTAAGAAGATTATATTATTCTTTGAGTTCTTTGTATTCCATATTCAACCATATTTTTATCTTTTTCAATCGATTTTTTTTTAAATTCCTTATAAATCTATCAGATGATGTAAAAATTCTTAGAGGGGGAGGTGTTCCATGAAGATAGCCTCTAGACTTATAATAATTATTATTTCTATATTTTTATTACATGGGTATGAATAAATAACCTTGTAATGAATATCATGTCACATATGAGAGCATCCTGGACTGGAATATTCTTATCGCTTAAGAAACAAAAGCTCATTGTTAAGGCCTTATGCGAATCTTTTCAGGATGAGAAATTTTTAATTCTCTTTCGATCAGCCGGTACAGAATATCCAAGTACGAAAAGCTCTCGAAAGAAATTCACCATATGTCTTAATCGTTTGTAATTGGAATGAAAAGTTTTTCAAAATACTGGATTACATTCCGAAGACATAAAATATATCATTTTAGATACAAAGTATTTTGTGCTAATGATTTATGTCGCTGATCCATCGTGAATATGATGTTTCTCACTTCATACAAATCTCCAGTTATATTTCACGTTTTTCTCTTGTCAAAAATATATCTACCTAAAATACATCATTTTCATTTCGAAAACTAACACTTTCGGGTTGAAGGTGACTTTCCATGTTTGTCTCGAATTCTCTCTGAGAGACATTTGATTCCAGAATCTTTTTGTTACACTATACAGATAAGCTTGAGTTAATGAATTAACAGATCGTGACATGGTGGATAAAAAAAATATGTTTGTGACGTTGTCGCCTATTTAGTCAGAGATTTTGAACAGATATAAGAAGGGTAATTGGTTTTATTTTTCGTTGGATTGATCATTCTTCATTTCTTTTCATTGTAGTTTGTCTGATGCCGAATGTTGGGCATTATGTGTGATAACATAGAAGTATTGGTTATTCTCCATTCATTCTTGTTGAAGTTTGTGAAGAATCATTCGCTTGGATGGTGTAGATTTGTTTAATATATTGTTTATGGATTCGTGTCTAGATGTTCAATTGCAGATCTTGGCTAATTTCTCGATTCGTCTTACATATGTTTCCAGTTTCACGTTCATTATTACATCATACATAAACTGCGTGACAAATGAAATGGTCCACCTAACCATTTCACCCAATTTAGAAATCAACTATGAAAAATACTGGTCCAATTCTGGAACGGTTTGTTCCATGTTGTGTAGGAATCGTTAGAAAATGATATGGTTTACTTACTCTTCCCATGAAGTTCGAGTTTCCAGATCTACAGGGAGAAACATTGACCCATTACAAAAATAATTATTTCCAAAGTAATCCCAATCATATGAAAAGATATTCGGATTTTATTCTACGGCATATATTTTGCATGCTTGATGTGTTTCGCTGACACGGTTTCGAGATTTGTTCGCTAGCATACTCCATTAACATGCAACATCTGTTTTTATGGAAACTTGACGATTTTTAAAATGTCCTTGATTTCAGCTGATCTGTTTATGGAATAAAAAAATTCATCCATGAAATCGATACGGGGGAGAATTCATCACTTCAATTCTTTGATTTTGAGCGTATATCGATATACGGGGTTTTTCGAGATACCAAAGAAACGTGAAATTCAGTCCTGCATATTGTGATTTTAACTTTGAATGCTCTCTGTATCGACGTAGAATGATTCATTATCATTCATGTTATCATCTTCGATCTACTGATGACATGTTAACAAACATTTTTTCACGATATTGAAAGAAATTAAATCATGCCGTTTAATTACTTTCTGAAAGTCGAATCCGTGGCCTATAGTCTATAGTGTTGTCACCTCAGGTTTTGAGATGCTCTTCACAGGCTATCATGAATTGAGATAAGTGTCCGTTACACCATTCATGGTTTTGTCAATAATATGAAAGGTACTAAGAACTATTGCTTTCGCATGATTTATTTGCAACCTTGACTCCTACCTAGTTCTTGTAATGGATTAACAGTGAAACAGTGAACATTAATGCAGGCGAAAAGTTATTCGTTGGGTAGTTGCGACGTGTCATATCAAATAGGATATCTCAGAAAGTTGGTGAGAGGTATTCTTCAAAAAGTTTCTCGAATATAGTTCATGTCAGTCCATTCGGATTTCCGCTCGAGAGGTACTCGAGGGGACTCGACTCTGGAGATTAATTTTTGCAATATCCGCAGACTCAACAAAAAAATCAATGACGTCCATCATCATCCACAAACAGAAAAACCAGATATTCTGACACTAACAGAAACTCAAGTGAACTTGTCCACCAACAAGGTCCACATGCTCTGTCCTGATTACAAACTCTATTCTCGATTCAGTTTCAAAGGTGGAGTCTACCTCTACGCTGAGGCTAACCGTTCATGCCAGCGTGTAGAGAGTTCGGAATCGAAAGACCTTGATGTGATGTGGATCAAGCTAGTCGATAACAAACTGACCAAATTCATCTGCTGCCTTTACCTATCGCCTGATGATAATACATATAACAACCTCTTTGACTTTTTATCACTCAAACTGGACTTCATTTGGGACAAACATCCAACAGCTGAAATCATTATCATGTGAGACTTCAATGTACAGGGTGTCCCAAACTGGATGCGTTCTTATGGGAACACCCCTTATTTGAAGAGATAGAAAAAAATAACCTAGGTGTCCGGAGCTTAAATTCAATAAGGAAACCACTGGCGCAAACGAGACTTTGCTATCTCTTATCGTTTGGCCGCCAGAGGGCTTTTCTCGAAATTCGTTGATTTCTTCAATGCCCCATAACTTTCTTATTAATGAAGATAATTCATTTTGGTAAAAACATTCTCAAAGCACTTTTTTCCATAGAATCTATTGAGATGGAAAGTTTTTCTACAGTGCGTTCAGATTGCTGTGCACCATCCCAAACTCTGTTTTTTTAAATGGACCACCCTATATATTATGATATTTTTGAGAAGCTCGTAAAATTTCCTAAATTTTGATGTATCACTCGTCATGTTTATCCCAGAAACCATCAGCAACATTACGATTTAAAAATTAAAATATTGTGCCTACAGAAATCAAGATTGCCCTGACTAATGAAATGACATTGGATGCTAACATGTTATAGTTGAAACCACCGATCTAAAGTTTTTACGTAAAGAAGCAGTAGGCCGTGATCATGATTATTCTGTTTTCGTTGTTTGACAGCTTCTAAATAGTTGAGAATTGACAGTAGAACTCGATAATGTTTGATATTTTGGTATTTTCGGTAGAAAATAAATATATTCATAAGGTTTTTGAAGAGTTTTAAGGAATGTATGAAAATTACGAAAAGTTCAACATGCTTGAATGTTACATAGAAAGTAACAAAAATGCTCAGGCGGCAGAAAACTTGTATTTCCAAAGATATCCCGAACGACAGCAACCATCCAGGGATATATTTGCTAGACTTGCCCATAATCTCCAAAATTTTGGTTCTTTCAACAAACCCAGAGCAAGCAAGTGTCAAACTATACGCAGCACAACTTTCAAAGAAAAATAATTTGCATTTACATGTTGAGAACGGGAGCAGAATCGGTCCCGAAACGTCCAAAGATAAGTAAAAATTCGATATTTTTCCAATATATCTATATTTCTTTCCTTCAAAAATTTTTTCAAACAAATTGTCACTGACAAGCTACTGGATTTTTCTTTTAGACTCCCTGATAGAAAAATTTGTTAAACGCAGTGACATTTTGGGGCAAATCATCTGATTTGTCCCTCTACAAATATATTGAAATAATACGAATACTTTTATTTTATAGAAACGAGGAGAGAAAATCCCAAAGAACCAAGTAAAATGAGCCGGAAAGAATTAGAAAGGGTGTTGCGAGGTGCGTTTAACCGAGTTCTAAATAATATACAACTCATTAATGCAGTTAATGCTGTTACCAAAAGATGTAGAATTTGCCTTCAACAAAATGGGGGACAATTTGAACATTTGCTGACATAATTTCATTATGTTTGTGTTTATGTTTATTCAATATCGTTGATTAAGTTCCATATAATTTTATGTAAGGATTTAGTGTTAGTGTAATATTGTTGGTTTGTTGTTGTTGTCCTTTGTATTTTAAATAATTATAAATTCATTATGATAACTATGAGTAATTTAATCATGAAACTTCAGATCTGTAGTTTTAATCATAACATGTTAGCATCCTATGTCATTTCATTAGTCAGGGCCCAGCAAACATGTATCGCGCGGGCCTTTAGACGCCCTCCAAAAACTGCCGACAGTCAACATCAGCGGGCCACAATCATGATACATCGTCGGCCCGGCTAGCCCGTGTCGCACCGGCCGCTAGTAGGCCGCCCGACTATCTACCGACACTATTCGGTTAGAAATAAAAAAAAGATATAGTCGGGAGTCGGACTCGAACTTGCGATCGAACGGATATCCAATCAACTGTCAGACGCTTATACCACTAGGCTACTGCGAAACTTGAAAGATACTATTACGAATCCATCAGTCAACAGAATTGAAATAGTACAATACTTCAATTATATTTGATATTTGATCATATACGATATACCTATCATAACTTGTTGATTCGACGACGTAGAATAGGTTTAGTCTGATAATGTTCTAGCCACATTACTTTTCCAGTGTTTGATCTATTACTGTGAATCAAATATTTTTCGAATATAGGTAAAGAGCTGAACTTCGCATTGGAGCATCATTGTTATAATATAGGGTAATGAACAAATATTTAGCTCAAAATCATTACCACAAAAATGGATTGGTAGACAATAACGAGTTTAATTATTGTTATATAACATATATCATTATTCTTGATGTCGGACGATAGTTTGCTGGGATCAATCATAAAACTCACCAACTTTTTCTAAATAATATTAATATTATCACGCCGTTTAACAAATACCTGAAGACAAGTGACAGACAACTGACGCGATCTACGGACACAGAACTAAAACACGAAAATAAATTAGCAGTACTACCAATGCTCAAAAACCCAGTGATGCCAACATTGCGTTTGGTTCAGTTACCACTGACCTGTAAACAACATACATACTGCGTCAAAGCGACATCGGCACGATTGTCGGGAATTTTAAACGGGCAATTTCTGGCTGAATAACAAACATCCATTATAAACATGCGTACGTTCAGCCATGGCGGCAAAACCGATGTCGTTTCAACATTTTAACGACATAGGTGTGCCGCTGCCGACAACTAACCGCAGTTACCAGCAATCGGCCGCCTATTTACCGCTCAATCATGTTTGCTGGGGGCAATCTTGATTTCTGTAGGCACAATATTTTGATTTTTAAATCGTAATGTTGCTGATGGTTTCTGAGATAAACATGACGAGTGATACATCAAAATTTAGGAAATTTTACGAGCTTCTCAAAAATATCATAATATATAGGGTGGTCCATTTAAAAAAACAGAGTTTGGGATGGTGCACAGCAATCTGAACGCACTGTAGAAAAACTTCTCATCTCAATAGATTCTATAGAAAAAAGTGCTTTGAGAATGTTTTTACCAAAATGAATTATCTTCATTAATAAGAAAGTTATGGAGCATTGAAGAAATCAACGAATTTCGAGAAAAGCCCTTTCCCATAAGAACGCATCCAGTTTGGGACACCCTGTACACAACGCGGCCTGGCTTGAATTCTCTAACAAAACAGATGATTTTGAATTGACTCGACCGTTACTTGATGGGAATCCATGGCAAATGTAAAATCTCTACAAACGATAAGATTTTCACAAAATTCTTAAACACACAACATGTTTCGCTAACACAGTAGCTTCGTCAGGTGATATACTGGTACAATATCAATGATCAATAATCAAAAAAAAATTTTTCAATCTTTCAATTCATTTCCAATAGCTAGAAGCAGATTACTTACTTACAGGTATGCATTGATGATGACTTAACAGTCGAAAGTGCTTTACTACGAGCAACAAACTTGAATAAATTATCTTGCACGAAATACAACACTTCTCTTCATTGGTATATAAACACGTGCACACAGCCAAGCAACCCTCACTCATTACAGGATATCCCTTTTCGTGGGAACCAGAACATAAAAAAATACAGTATTATTCAGCAGTTTCTATGGTGCATTCAGAACCAATATACTAAGAAATATAGGCGTCTTAGAAAAGGAGGTCAGTTCTTATACCATATACGTGGTGCTTTCAGAACCAATATATTGAGGAATATTTATAGGCGTCTTAGAAAAGGAGGTCAGTTCTCATACCATATATAGTGTGTCTCACTTCTAATGGAAACAACCCTGTATCATACGTAATCGTTGTGAGAGCATCCTGAAATTTGCAATGTGAATGTTAAAAATGCACTCTATGACCAAGTGAGGTCATCTTCAGTGATATAAACTGCTCGCCAACAGCTATGGAACCACCCCATAAATTTATGGAAAATGATATTAGGAGGCAAAACAGATTGAAAATCACTTCAGATACGGAATCAGAACGGCCAATTCACTAACTATTCATGTTTCTCCCCAAAAATGTTAAGTTCTGAAAAAATCATTCTTGACTCACTTCTCTTGAAAACACCTCCGTATATTACGAAATCCTTGGGAAAGGTTCCTGAAAGGACCCCGCACTTTTAGTACGTAAAATGGTTCTCGGTGAAATTTTCTGAATTTTCAGTATGTTGTAGAATTCGATGAACTGATTGAACCTGCAGAATCGTAAAGTTCTTTGATGAACAGATTCTGAGATACAGGGTGTTGAAGTTACAAATCGGTATTTTTCATTTAATTATTTTCTCGAAATTCAAAGATGCCAAGTACAATTTTCTTCGCTTATATCATTAACGAACCTCCATATTACTCAACATAATTCAGATGGTTCAGATGATGTAATTGTTTACAGAGTGAAACATATAAACATTTCAGTGATGTCTGAAAATTCGATGTAATAATGAAATATCGAAAAAATAATTCAGGCATGCAATATACTATTCTCATTCCATCATGAATCACAATTCATACATTTCATACAGGGTGATTTGAAAAATTGGTGACACCTAAGACCGATTTATTCATACACATCCTGTA